GTTACCTTCTCGGTGCAATTGTATTTGCGCGTTGTAAATGCAAACGGATATCGTCAGTACCAGGTAGATGAAACATAATATGCATTAGTAATCGTTTGACTTATGAATATTTTCTTTTATAGAGACAAAACAATGAATCTTTATATTTCTTTACATTTGATATCCCCCTACGCACCCAGTCATGCAAAGACTGGACTACATTCTTTGGGAATATTTTATCAAACTCTTCTACGCAAAAATACTTGTTCTTGTCAAACAAGACTGAACCGGGAACAAATATCAATTTGTATATTAGCCTTCGTGACTTAAATTGTCTCGTGATGAATCCACTAAAGCTGTTAGTTTATTGCTACCAACACTAAAATCAATTTTATTTAGTACTAGCTGACCCGGCAGACTTTGTAGTGCCTCAATCGATAAATAAAAGACCTAAACTTTTTTATAAAATAAACTTAAAACGAACAAAAGGAATCCGTCCGACGGGAAACATCAAAGGAAAAACAAAATTGTTATGTTTATTTAATTCCGAACATTTTTCATATTTATCTACCTTTTAAACCTTCTCAGGACTTAAAAAAATAATTCAAGACCAAAATTAACCAAATCGGTCCAGCCGTTCTCGAGTTTTAGCGAGACTAACAAACAGCAATTCATTTTTATATATATAGATGGCTCTCGTATGAAGGTTCCGTGGTGTGCTATATTAGATTATCCTTTCAACAGACGCCCGGGAGTTCGATCCAGATTAGTGAGGTTTAATCTGCAGCCCCTAGAGCGGTTCAAGTCGAATTGGAGGCGTCTCAATACCAATCCTGGACAATTTATCCGTGGATACTTGGATCCGCGTCCAACAGAGGCCCGGAATGGTTATCAAACCGTAACAAAGAAGGTCGTTGTGGCCAAAAGGATAAGGCGGTGCATTCTTATGTAGCGATGCAACGGTGTTCGAATCCCGCAGGCGGGTATCATTTTTTTTTAATGAAATACGTACCTAACAAATGTTCACGATTGACTTCCGCGGTGAAGGAATAACAATGTTTAATAAAAATCAAACCCGCAAAATTATAATTTGCGTAATTACTGGTGGTAGGACCTTTTGTGAGTCCGCACGGGTAGGTAGGTACCACCACTCTGCCTATTTCTGCCGTGAAGGAGTAATGCGTTTCGGTTTGAAGGGTGAGGCAGCGGTTGTACTGTAAAAATTGAGACCTTAGAACTCATATCACAAGGTATGTGGCGGCATTTATGTTGTAGATGTCTATAGGCTCCGGTAACCACTCAACATCAGGTGGGACGAGAGCTCGTCCACACACTTAACTAATAAATAAAAAATAGAAAAAGAAGCCGTGCCAGTTTTTTGACGTATCTAATGCCGGTCACTCACATGCGCGCAAATATTCGTATATACATTGTACGAATGTTTGCGCCCATGTGAAGAGCCGTCATACATTCATTCGCAAACTTAGCGGTTGTGCAAATGGGTTCGGTACTCAATTTGCGAAGCCGTTTGCGCTTCCTCCCACACTTGTTTACGAATGTCTCACGAATTTCTCTTCTTTTTTAATTCACCAATAGAACATTGAAGAGAAAGGGAGTTTTTAATTCTTTCCCAGGCGTCCCTTGGCCGTTAGCCATTCTGTTTTCATAGGATTTCTTTTGAGGGTCCCATATGGTCGATTCATTTTGCAGGAGTTCAATAAACTCCATCACCTTAGTGTTGTTCCAATCCATGATTAAGGTACGCTACACAGTAGACGTCACGAATTATGAAAATGGCGAAACGTCCGTTACCTTCGCAATCGTGGGCGCAACTGGTCACACGAATGTGTGGGAGACTACACTAATAATCGCGGTTCGCGTGGTTTGATGTCCGTTGAAAAACCGACACAGCTTGGAAAACCACGAATGCAGCAAAAACTTTGCATAATCATTTGCAAATGTCGTCCTACACTTGCGGGTTTGCGTATTCGTGCGAATGTGAGTGACCGGTTTAAGCATCGCCACATTATAGGTTGCGCGGTAAAAGTTTCTAAAATCGATAGATTGCAAATAAATAAGGCGTTGAAATTACGCGAGATACCTCGTTGTATTTTTACAATATTACTTTGAAAAATGTTACCAGGCCATTTAATTTTCATTCAACAAAAATTAAATCGTTGATAACAATGTGTATTGTATCAAACGTGAGTATTTTTAAACAGTCTTCAACTTGGTTAAATAATTTTATTATGACATCTTAGTAATACGAGCGCGATACATTTGAAATTTCATCAGCAACGCAAAATTTGTTCATACCGTTTTTGTTTCATTACACATTTTTGTTTCATTACATTAATCTATACATATAAATAAAATTAGTGTCTGTTTGTAGTATTGAAATAAATGCATATGAATATATATACGGTACATATACCAAAAGAACATTTTTTACAATTTTGTCTGTATATGCTCTCCTGTGCTATTTTTACATGATTTATTAATTGTGTATGAAGATGAAGAAAATATAGATATTTAAAGAAGTATGTGTGTTTTTTATACTTTAATAACTACAATTGGATAAAAATACATGAGGAACATCTTAAACATTAAAAAAAGAAAAGTTCTTGAAGTATTTGTATAGAAAATTAACCTCAAAACGAGTTTTTATTTTTATTATATTTTTTATAATAGTGGCGTCAATATCAATATATTTTTTAGATATCTAATACATTTAAGAATTTGAATCAGTCCATTTTTATAGTAATATTTGATGTCCACCTTGGGCCTAGCACACTATGGAGAGTGGGGCATTCCCCTTTAATGCTTCCGAAGCGAAGCGAGGGCGGGTCGCTAATCAATTTATATAAGAAGCGTTCTGAGTGAATGTTTGTGATCCCGTCATCGTATCAACAGTCAATTAATAGTTCATAATTACTATTTTTATTTATTTATTGGTTAGATGAGTGAACGAGCTCACGGTGTAGATGCCGCCATCCATCTTGAGACATTAATTTTCGGGTCTCAGTTTTTACAGTACAACGGCTGTCCCATCCTTCAAACAAAAACGCATTACTGCTTCACGGCAGAAATAGGAACGGTGGTAGACTCACAAGACGTCCTACCACCAGTGTGTTCAATGCGAGTTTTTTAATGTTCTCGATAGCGTAAAAGTTAGCTCACAGTACTCCCTGCGACCGTAAGCCGTTTTGTGTTTCACGTACTGTCTTTGGAACGAGCTGCCTCCCTTTCACATAGCTTCTTGAGTGTAGTTACGATACATATCCTTTCTCAAAGGAAGATTTAAAAGATGTCGAATCCCGAAAAGAGTGATTTCGATTTGGGGTCAATTAAAAAAATCGTACATTATTAATTGAATTTTTATCAAAATATCGCATTGTGTAAGTTTTTTTTTTAATATTTCTTTATTAAACTAACCTGGACTCATTAAATATTAGTAGATCTCTTAAAACTATGTTAGCATCAGTAGCAATTATGTAGGTAAATAATTAAAGTACAGAAATAAATAAATCGCGTTCACTTGTTTTATCAGACGCGTAAATATTTTATTATATTATCATTACGGAATTCACGAATGAATAATGCATACAAAATAATAAGTTTCTTTTGTTTTTGTGTTGAAGTTATTGTTGTGTTTCAAAATAATTTAAACTAGAGGTCCCGCAGTAGTCGAAATTCGACTATAATTAATTGGAATTGTAAGTTTGTATAATAACAAATTTTTGACAACAGACGTCAAGGACAAAAGTTTGACAATAAATAGTATGCATGCGTGTGTGCGTCAAATACATGGTATGTAGTGTGTGTAATGTTTTCTTTATTGATTTAATGCATCTTTTATGCATTATTTAAAAAAAAATATTAGCATTGTGCACTTCTTCTCTATGTTCTTTAGAAGTGTGGAAAATTTCATACTCCTCCGTCCGCGCAAATTTCGTAAAAAGGGACACAAAGTTTTTGCTTCACGTATTAATAGATAATGCCATTTTCTTCGTAACATACAAACACTCTCTCTTTCTCTCTCTCTCTTTCACTACTATCTAGAGGCTCTACACGGCCTACATCTTTACGAAGTAAACTTTCACATACCTTAAAGACGTCGGTTAAAGAATAACAAATAAGATACATAAAACAGAATCCGTTGCTATTTGATATAATAATGAAATGCAATATCAAAACAATCTGTGCAAAAATATACACCAAAGATAAAAAAAACATAAACTGAACATACAAATTTCAATTAGCGAATTAACTAAAAATAAAGATGTATTTACTTTAATAAATAAAAATACTTTAACAGTACAGACTTTTAACTTTTCGAAAAAACTTTACTTTTCCTTGGTCACGGATAAATAAAAAATGCAAGGTGAAACCTTTCAATTTAGACTCACGTAAACTGAAGTGAATACCGTATATAATTCGTTACGATAAACGATAATGGAGAATAATTGAATTAAATAATTTATATGTGAATAATCGATTTAAAAATTTTACTCCGGTGGATAAAGTTTCAATTACAGAACTACTAAAGTCAGATAATATTATGATCCAGGTAACGGTAATTTTTGCAAACAAAAAACTGACTTTTCAGTTGTCAGATAGTGATTTATAGGATTTATCAGGCCTTGCTTTGCAATGCCACTAAAGTAAATAAGAGTTCAATGAAGTTATTTTCTTTTCCTGCAATCACCGAAATTTCTCAACGCTTTAAAAAAATATTTACTTCATTAAAGGTATATATGCTACAACACTTACCGATTCATTTAAAGTAGTATTCGATGAAATATTAATTGTAAAGACTTCAGTGCTACCGGTTGCAGCCATTTTTGTATTAACACAATCAAGGGCACCCATTTTTCATGTAAACTTCCAACGGTTCACTAAATCACACACATCACCATTGAACAGTAATCCGTCTTGAACTAAAATATTTCTAAAACATGAATTATTTGATTTAAATCCTTATAACAACGTAGTTACAATTCATTTAATGAATTACACACGCGTGTGTGTGGTGTGGCGCGATGACGGACGTCGTGTGTGTGAAGATAAGTGCTCAACCAAGATATAGCATTCACTGGAAAAGGTCGCCAGGTAAATAACCGGTTTTGCAACATTTTTATTTGCTTTTACATGGCTATTAACTAAGTTTTTTTTTTACTGCTTAGATGGGTGGATGAGCTCACAGCCCACTTGGTGTTAAATGGTTACTGGAGCCCATAGACATCTACAACGTAAATGCGCTACCCACCTTGAGATATAAGTTCTAAGATCTCAGTATAGTTACAACGGCTGCCCCACCCTTCAAACCGAAACGCATTACTGCTTCACGGCAGAAATAGGCAGGGCGGTGGTACCTACTCGCTCGGACTCACAAGAGGTCCTACCACCAGTAAAAAATTAACTAAGTATTTTATACGTGTATCCATTTATATGTAGGTATGTTTGGTTTGCTTTTTCCCTTGACTATTCGCTGGTAGCCTAAGGGCTATTTCAGCTACGCCCGGACGGGTTGGTGAGCTCACGGGCTCGACCTGAGAGAATTTGCTAACACTATCCCTAGCAGGAGCAGTGCTTCGTAGAATCTACCACCGGATCGGAATCACGAAGCACCGAGAAGATCCGGCCAGAAACTCAGTGGGCTGTGTCTATGGGTTAGCTCGTGGAATTCTTCGTCGTAATCGACGATTAAATAAGTAGTCAGCAGTATTTCTTGCGGTTTAGTTTGCATCCATTATCGTTCGTTATTTTATTTTACACAAAATCTAAAAAAATGTCAATTAAATTGTTCAAAGTAAATTTTTGAATGTAAGCTGTGATTTAATGGATTCATAAACTAAATTAAAATTAAAATTGATTTCCACTGGATAATTAATATACGCGAACATTATTAGTAATATTTTACGACGGGTTGATGTTGTGATTTTATTATAGTTCTAGCAACTGCGCTAGCAGAAGATACAGCCCTCAGGCTAGGCCGTCTGAACTCGCTCACCAACCAAGATGAAGCCAGAACAGCCCTACGAGGCTACTAGCGGTTACGTAGACCGAAAAAAGAGATCAATGCATATCAAGCTAGATTACATAAAGATGACATCCCTATTTCTGAGGAAATACAGTTTATAAAATTAAACATAATGTTTACTTTCGGGCCAGCTGCGATCCAGAGTGGCTTGTTTGCGCGCATTGCTGTTAGCATGGACCTATAGGTTTCTTATGACGACGTTTGTAGTTGAAAGTAAGTATTGTACTTATTGACGAAGCATGTTACTGATAACTCTGTTTCTATAATCTGACGAAGCGTGTTGCGGATAATAATATTATGTACTTTTAATAATTGAATAAAATTACGAAATTTTATATAAAAAATATTAAACGAGACTTCTAGTACAGTTAATTCTTTTGGTCGCACAATTTTAGTTACATTTCACATGATTCACGTGCCACGTTAGAAGGCTGAATGTCTACTGACCATGTGTGGGTCGGTCGCGGTATATACGACGGATTACGTTTGCGGAAGAGAAGCGCGGATCGCGGGCTGACTGACGATAAGCCTTGGAAGACGAAGAAGATGATTTTTACAAGTAACTAGCGGCCCGCTCCAGCTCCACTCGTGTTTTTAACAAAAATTTCTACGATATTTGACGTTGTTTGATTTTTTAAAATAAAAGAACACTTATTGCGGCACAGCTACAATAGTTAGACATATGCTGTCGGGACACTTTTTGTAAATAATAATGTATTCTACAAAATCCTGTTACATTATTTTATTCTATCATCAATACTTTTCGCAGGGCACGCGATGTGAAAAATATTTTAGGTCATTTTTTTATACCTTTGGTTACATTATGGGAGTGTTGGTGAGGACCCCAACTTTTTTGAAAAAAGATTACTCGGGAATAGTGTAGCTTCCAAGCAGTGAAATCATTTTTCAAATCGGTTCAGTAGTTTCGGAGCCTATTCAATACAAACAAACAAACAAATATTTCCTCTTTATAATATTAGTATAGAATAGTATAGACAAAAACAAGTTATGTAGGATTACGAGATTAATTTTAACGTGAGCATCTTGTGTGTTGATTCACACGAATACGTATCACAGTATCACGGAGACAGACAGATAAATGTTAAGATGCTGATAAAGAAAAATTGAGTGTATCAGAAGTTAGTCTCAAAGCCAAAAAGAGACTACACTTCTATCCAATAGTGAACGCCATCTTAGCAATAATAAAGCAATAAAAAGAAATAAGCAATAAAAAAAATAAAGGAAAAAGTATTTACAAGTGTTCGTTGATTTTTAAGCATTGTGTGTGTGTATTTTTATTGTTTTATCACAACTACGATAAAATATTACCCATATAGATAGTAACGTGATTCTTATTCTCTGTTGGTAGGAAGCAAATAATTTTGTAATCACAACAAATAAACGCGTATTTTTAAATGCGTACATCACGGCTTTTAAGGCTAACGAACTTTAAACAATACTAGATGATTTTTTTGATAGCGCCATCTTGTTGTATCTCTAAAGCGGTTAGTTGCCCTCAATTAAGAAAAATAGTATTATTATTCGCCAATAGATGTCGGGAAGAGTTGATTATTGAAAACACGAATAAAACAACATTTTCTGAAAATAAATCGTAGCTAGATCGATTTATCGCCCCCGAAATCCCCTGTATACTAAATTTTATGAAAATCGTTGGAGCCGTTTCCGAGATTCAGATTATATATATATATATACAAGAATTGCTCGTTTAAAGGTATAAGATTAATTTCATTCTCAACATTCTTTTGCCTCATCGCCCGTGTCTGAGCTATGTGTGTAAATTCGTAATCAGATAGCATAAACTGAATTCAACACTTCACCTGAACAAACATTTAAGACGTTTACGTGTCTTGCTACTTTTATTAAAAAGAAAAAAACAAATTACTTTACCTTATATTGGGTAACCTTAACTTGCTTTACCTTACTTACCGTTATTACCTTAACAAATCTAAGGTAAGACCCTTACCTTACCTTACCGTAAGGGTAAGTAAAGTAAATGACATTTTACTCACCAAGTATATTAAAGTAGTTTTAGAAGAAGGCCCAGAGTTCTAGAAGAACAAATGCATTGGTCGGACCAAATACGCTCTACTTATAACACCTCGGTCTACTATGCCATTCACGCAGTCGAGGATAAGCTGGGGCAAGATAGACCAGGAGAAAGCTATTCAGGGAGTCCACGACCGTCAGCATTAAGGATTATCAACGCAAGGAAGAGGACCTATACTGGTACGTATTGCAAAGTCACATAAGTACCGCCATTCTTCCTATTTCTGGTCCGAAGCAGTCATACGTTCCGATTCGTAAAGTGGGATCGCTATTATCTGACTTTGATCTTAAAGTAAGTCTAGTCTAAAAGTAAGTGTCGGCTCTCACCTAATGTCTATGGATCACGTTAATACTAAGTGATTTTAATGAGACAACTTTCCCTAACACTCATTTTTAACTAGAGTCATTGTGGCGGTAGTAAACATAGAACACAAGATGTTTGACAAGATGCTTAAATCTCGCAACGACATAACCGAGAAAAGTTTGCTTATTATATTTTGGTCCATTCCGACTGCATCGCTAGCTAAATGTGAAGTAAGTATTCCAAAATCCTATTAGATACTGACGGTTAATATCATATTAGGAGAATCTGAATACAATGTCAACGAAATCTATTATCATAATGATTAATGATTTAATCTATATGTAAATTTAGATCGTCCCTCTCCACTTTAAGGCCATTTTTTTAATTATTGCTTAGGTGGGTGGACGAGCTGGCGTTAAGTGGTTACCGGAGCCCATACACATCTACAGCGTAAATGCCGCCACCCACCTTGAGATATGAGTTCTAAGATCTCAGTATAGTTCCAGCGGCTGCCCCGCCCTTCAAACCGAAACGCATTACTGCTTCACGGCAGAAAGGGGCAGGGTGGTGGTACCTACCCGTGCGGACTCACAAGAGATCCTACCACCAGTAATTAAAATTAATTCTAATGACTCTTCATTCCGAAGAATTACGAAAACGCACAACCCTATTTAAATTCTGATATATAGTATATTTTTTTATCTTATCTTTATTAGATCGAACCTTGTGTGCGTGTTACTTGTTGATAATAAAAACGTGATTTATGTTTTGTATCGATTGAGCATCTCGCCGAATCTTCTAAGCGGATTAGATGCATTTGCGAAACCGTTGGACTTGTTAAGTTCTCCTTTGAATGAGCTTGGGACCTCTGTTAGCAAAGCCAACCTCTCCCGGCTGAGCTCATCCACTTACCCTACCGAAGCTGGAACGGCCTTCGAATCATCTGTATTCCTTCAACCGTCAAAATCCTTGGGACGTACTCAACAAGGAATGTTTGATTGATGGACACATGACAATGTATTTGTTGACCACTTTGTCGGGAATCATTTAGTTAGAACATTTTTTATTTATTTTTTACTTTATTGATGCACAAAACAAATTACAATCATTACAGTACATATTAGCTAAATCGTACAAGTAGTACCTAGATCTAATCTAGATTGCAATCTAAATAGTGTGTGCACTCAGCAAAACCATATTAATGTGCACAGCTTTGGCTATTGAAAACACAATTGAAATAACAAATATTGATAACTAGCCATTGTTAAATAGGATATCTTTCACACATCCGACAAATCCCCTGAGTCTAGGTTCAAAGATATCAAGGTTACCGTGACGTAAATCATTATACTGTAACATAAGAGTGTTTTTGCCTCAGCAGTTGCAGAGGTTCAAGGACAGCATTTCATTTTCATCATTCAGATCGTAACAGTTTCCTATCATTTCTCGCTCAGTAAAGCGATAACTTGAATTAAAGTTATCAATGATCTTTATACAGCAAATATCTATTCAACGAATGCGTCACGTCTCGACTATTTACTTTCGCGATGACTCACCTGGCGCTTCCAGTGAGTGACGTATGGAGGTCGTCGACTAACAGCCATTACATGCTTCCATACATGCGTATATTCCGTATCATCACGCTTTTTCCAATCACGGTTAGATATAGGTACCTAATTGTATTTTTAATTTTCATTAAATGGATCTGCTTGAGACTGCAATCAAATTGGATTAAGGTAAATGAAACTAGATGAGATAAAATTATGTTTGTTTTGATTGAGAAACTCAAATTGACTTATTAGGTACATTTATAACCAAAAAAGTTTGGTTTATTATTTTGATATTTGTTATTGTCGCATCTATATATTAATACGTGAAGCAAAAACTTTGCATCCCTTTTTACGAAAATTGCGCGGACGGAGGAGTATGAAATTTTCTACACTTATAAATAATATAGAGAAGAAGTGCACAATGCTAATATTTTTTTTAAATAATGCATAAAAGATACATTAAATCAATAAAGAAAACATTACACACACTACATACCGTGTATTTGATGCACACACGCATGCATACTATTTATTGTCAAACTTTTGTTCTTGACGTCTACTGTCAAATTGACAATAGATTAAAATTAAATATTGTTTGTCTTTATTAATATTTTTGTATAGTGTAGCCTTGGCGAAATTTGTGATTATAGAAGTATAAAATACAATCATAATAGTGTACAAACTACAAACTTACAATTCCAATTAATTATAGTCGAATTTCGACTACTGCGGGACCTCTAGTATGAATTATTATACATATATTTTTAAAACTATCAATTATCTATACTGTCAATGTCTTGACACATTTAATGAAGTTTGTATTATTTAAAACGAAATTATTTAAGCAGCAAAAACAAAATGAATCTACCGGAAATAAAGGCTTATGAGGAACAAGCAATAGATACAGTTGTGTCCGTGATAAACAGGGCAACAGAGAAGATAGGAACAAGACTCAATTTGTTCCAACTAGCACGTTAGTGTTATAGACGACAATACGTAGTAGAACAATCTTTGCTTAGTATTTGGCTTTAAATGCGAGTCTGTGGCTTTTTGGCGGGAAAGCATGGGAATTGTGGCTTATTAATCTATGTGTGAGAAAATGAAACAAATCCGATTGACATGATACTTGACATGTAACTATACTTGAGACCTTAGAACTTATATATCAAGGTGGGTGGCGCATTTACGTTGTAGAAGTCTATGGGCTCCAGTAACCACTTAACACCAGGTGGGCTAGGAGCTCGTCCACCCATGTAAGCTATAAAAAAAAACGACTTCTCCGACTGCTCCAAAAGTCCACGGAAGTCTCAGCAACATTCCAACCATTTTACTGGGGCGTTATTTAATTTCAGCATTTGTAGTGCTTGCTACCGATTTAAGCTGTGGTGTTTAAGCTGTTCTCTAGCAGTAATCTATATCGTCTTTTCGCATTAAAAGTGTACAATTTCCAAAAATATTCTAAATTGAGTTAATATGCGGAACCATTTGGTTATCACCAGTATTTTTCTCATAAATACTGTCAAAAGAGCGTAGTTTAGTTGTAGTTTTTTTTTGTTTACCTATATTTTGACTACTATTAACAAAATTATAATTTTATCTTACTTTAAAAGACTGATATGTAACTGGTGAAAAATAAAAAATAAATTTTGCAAAGATGATTAATATTACAAATATCACATGTTAAACCTTTAAAACACTCCTGTAACATTAGTAAGTTTTGAGATTATACAGTTTTAATGCGAGAAGACGATATGTTATTGTCAGTGAGCCGAAAAAACCTCGCTTCGCATGTGAAGGTGTCACTGGGCAGCATCGGAACTCCTTTGCCGATAACGAGCGAGAGATTCATCGGCAAGACAATCGAGAGAGTATGGAAGTTGACCGACGCGTTCATGTACACGTTGAAGTATTTGGGCGGCTCGCAAGACGAATGCTCGCAGTTTTATTACTTCGAGGTTGGTTCTTATTATTATAACTAGCGACCCGCCCTCGCTTCGCTTCGGAAACATTAAAACAAACATGAAACCAAAAAAAAAATTAAAAAATTTTTTAAAAAGTAGCCTATGTTCATCAGGGACAATGTCGGCTTCTAATGGAAAAAGAATTTTTCAAATCGGTCCAGTAGTTTCGGAGCCTATTCGAAACAAACAAACAAACAAATCTTTCCTCTTTATAATATTAGTATAGATTATGAAGGTCGTTGACTTATATACTGTCACTGGCTTTTGCCCGCGACTTCGTCCGTGTGGAATAGTTACTTTGGCATAACGCTAAATTTTACTCTCCTCTTCATTTACGTAGAAAGTGAAAATGTTTTTGAATAATAGAATGTTAAGGAGCTATTCCAAAATAGGATGTTATCAATTCGACCATATTTTTTTATTGGTGCTCCGCTTGTATTGGTCTTAGCGTGATGTTGATATAGCCTATAGCCTTCCTCAATAAATGAGCTATCTGACACTGAAAGAATCTTTCAAATCGGACCAGTAGTTCCTGAGATTAGCGCGTTCAAACAAACAAACAAACAAACTCTTCAGCTTTATAATATTAAGTATAGATTAATACTCTGCTGAGATGCTCACTTTAAGAATTCGAGTTATAAAAACGATGTTAGAATTTTACGAATTGTAGAGTCAAGACTGTAGATTTAAATATACTTTAACGGTAAAACGCCGCTATTATTACTGTCGATATTTCCAATACTTCACAGTTAATATCACGCCACATTGAGAAGGCAGCACGACATGAGAACCCTCTTGTCGTGACCGCCAGTAATTACACACCCGATACTGTAGACCGAATAGTAAGCAGTCGACGTCGCCCAAAACACGTCATTACGGATCCTCCCGATCCATTAACGGTGCTTTTAGGTACCACAAGCACCGGTCACCGTCCTCCTCACTGTTCTTATTAGGGCCAGTGTTTGCAACATTCCGGTTTGAGCTCGGTGTGCTCACCTACATGTTAGGGTGAAGCTGAAATAGCCTCTCAAGGCTATCAGCATAGGTAGGAAAAAAAGAAAAAAAAAGTTGTCACTGACGATTGTACTGACTTTTTATTATATAAAGTCCGCCTCGTCCGTCTTTGGCGACACATGTACTATTTCAATTATAATTTAATATCCTGCTTATTTTATTTTAAATGTTTTTCAGAATTTTCTATCTTCTATGTGTACGATATTAAGAAATGTAAAAATGTTTTTGCTGTCATACATTTGTATTGAAATTATGAACGGACTTTAATTGATAAAATGGTATTAACAATACCGTCAATGGACAGAAATCTGGTGGAAGTGTTATGCGGAATTTACATTACGAAATTAGTGTCATGCATGTTGAACTCAGTTTCACGAAAGTAGTTTCGATATATGCGAAAGTAATTTCGTAAAAAATTAGTGTCGCGAAATCCACAGTATCGCAGTAACTTATTTACCTAAAAACTTAAAAAAAGACTATCAAGAAAAAAGTCGTTGGTAGATTCGAGGATGGTTAACAAGAAGGCAGCTGCAATGAAGTTAGTCTCTGAATTACCAGATGAAGATCCTAAGAGCTATAAAAACTATTTTCGAATGAGTGAAGATAATTTTAATTTTTTACTATAGGTGTTTCGGGTCCCAGAGACACCCTTGTCGCTGATATTCATTAATAAATTCTATATTTTTATCTGTACTCCATCTTTGGTTTGCCATTTTCAAGGCTTGAAGCGCGCGCTAGCTAAAAATACACACATCCGAACAGCGCAGGCCCTTTCGCGACATTAGTTTCACGTCGCGTCTACATTATGAAATTAGTTGCATGACACTAATTTCACCAAAAAATCGCGCAGCACACGAAACTTATTCGCATTCATGAAATTAATGCATGCATTACGAAAATATTAAATTACCTATACGTGAAACTGTTGGTAAAACTAATGTCACGAAATTAATTTCATGCCACTAATGTCGTAATGTAAATTCGCCTGTACATTGCGGGCTGGTAATGCTTAGTACTATCAAAATCCAAGAGTTCTTTCATAGGCGATCTTCAGTCAGCCATGTACAGCGTACCCGATCCCACAAGCAACCGTATCCGTCTTCTTCAGGATTGAGGACAAGCACATTGAGCCTCTGGAAATACGTGGAGTACCGCGGGTAATTCATACGTTGAGACTTTTAAAAAACATTTCAAACACGTTTGCTTTAAATTGACAGCGATCAACGTTTTTTTTTTAAGCTATTGCATAGCTTTTATCGCGGCCTTTGAGCGCGGCGACCGAATCAAGAAATTCCGTTACGAAAATAAGACCTAACACCGCCTACCAACTACCATGTAGCTCGCGTTCAACACATTCACACGTTGCGCTTGTGTAGTGTTTGTGAATTAGCGCGCGGCGTGACGTCGCACTGCATGCGCATCATGAAAAGTCTGCCCATCTCTCTCTCGCGCGGTCTAGCTTATGAGTGTGAAGGGGACAGTTAATGTTTTGCTTTTATTAATGTTTATAAATATAGCGTCAAATAGCGTGGTCTTATTTTATATATTTTTTTAATATTAAATTATTATTGTCTAATTATAATTGCATAAGTTGATAAAAAATGCTATGCAATAGCTTACCGCGGCAGTTCCTGAGTGCCACACGTCTTTTCTTTTCTTATTCATAGATGAAGATTACAAAATGGTAATAAGCTTACTCTGCGCTACCTTTGGTCGACTGTTTGAGAATGCCTTAGGCATTAGTCCGCCATTGTAAATTTTACATGAAGTGTAATAAAAAAAATATAGTTTTTTTTCCTAAAAGTGCACTACACTTCATTATATTGTACTTTAATTGTGTAATTTACTTCGATACAACGTGCAACGAAAATATCTTAGCACTTTGACTGCCACGTAGGCCACCGGTGCCCTACGTAGCGCACTGAAGTAATTATGTCGATATCTGTTATATTTTTTTAATTTTTTTTTATTGCTTAGATGGGTGGACGAGCTCACAGCCCACCTGGTGTTAATGGTTACTGAAGCCCATAGACATCTACAACGTAAATGCGCCACCCACCTTGAAAATCTTCTCTTGAAAATCTAATCTTTATTAAGCGCTTGGATTGCTTAGCTTTGCCTTCTTTTGTTTGTTAATGTACATAAGTTTTAATATTTAAATTATTCGAAGATTCGTTATTCGGGGCCGGATGATCGTGCATGATTTGTTGTCAGTTATTTAATGTCTATGAACTTTGGTTATAGCTCAACAAAAGGAGGGTCATGCACTTGCCAATTAAATAAACAAACTTCATCTAACAATGAGAGGGTAGGTTACTTTGCAGTGCTGATGGGTACTGATAGATCCTATAAACGGCAACTAATTACCTAATCAATTTACTTGACGTCTATATAACTCAATAATACCTGATTCACACCCAACAGATGTGGTTCCGCATCGAGGGTCAACAGGTAGACCACGACGTGCAGTTTGTAGCCCTAACTGCAGACTGGATCTTGGCCGTACTCCAGATGAAGATGAAGTTGTTCCAGAGAATTGAGAAGATCCAACTGTTTTGATTGAAATATAAATGATACGTGCCTGATGGAGCACGCAATAAAAAAAAGGTTTTTCATTTTTCGACCCAATTTTTTTTAATTGCTTAGATGGGTGGACGAGCTCACACCCCACCTGGTGTTAAGTGGTTTCTGGAGCCCATAGACATCTACGATGTAAATGCGCCACCCAACTTGAGATATAAGTTCTAAGGTCTCAAGTATAATTACAACGGCTGCCCCAGCCTTCAAACGGAACACATTACTGCTTCACGGCACAAATAGGCAGGGCGGTGGTACCTACCTGCGCGGACTCACAAGAGGTCCTACCACCAGTAAAATCTTGATTTATGATAGTCATAGTCATTATAGGTAGTCCAGAAGCATAGTCACAGTCTAGCTGTAGAAGTTTGATATTCTCGACTATTTAAATAAAAATTAGTAAAGTAAAGCTAAGTATATAGACCCAGCTTATTTTTCTGTGCGATCTTTGATTTGACTTTAATGCGAGCGCCATCGAACTCACCACAGGATCACCCTAAGCCAATCTGAGGATTCTCTGAAAATTTCATCAAAATCGGTTACGTAGTTCCTGAGCCTATAGGGACACAGAGTAACGTATATTAAGAACGTACACATTGTAAATGTAATAAGAAAAGGTATTGCAAGCAATAGTGATATATTTTTGATTTAATCGATGAAAACGTAATTTATCAGAAAGTTTATCATACACTTTTGACAAAAAACGGGTAGACCCAAAATATTTTAATATTTCAAATACAGACTAAGTGATTTGAGCTCATGTCAAGTTCATTTTGAAGTCGTCGTGGCCTAAAGGATAAGACGATCGGTGCATTCGTGTTGAGCGATGCACCGGTGTTCGAATATCAGGCGGGTACCAATTTTTCTAATGAAATACGTAGGTACTTAACAAATGTTCACGATTGACTTCCACAGTGAAGGAATAACATAGTGTAATAAAAATCAAATCCTCAAAATTATAATTTGCGTAATGACTGGTAGTAGGACCTCTTGTAAGTCCTCACGGCTAGGTAACACCGCCCTGCCTATTTCTTCTGTGAAGCAGTAATGTGTTTCGGTTTGAAGGGTAGAGCAGCCATTGGTAACTATACTGAGATGTTAGAACTGATATCTCAAGGTGGGTGTCGCATTTACGTCGTAGATGCCTATGGGCTCCAGTAACCACGTAATACCGGGTGGGCTGTGAGCTCGGCCATCCAACTAGGCAATAACAATTTTTTTTAGTTGTACTAAATGCCATATCCTAGTTTTTGTAAATATTTTTAATGTACATTCATTCCAGAAGCAGGGGTAGAACTTATATTATTATGTAGACCCAAAAAATGCAATGCTTTCAGGAAATCCAGTTTGAGAAATTTCAAATTCCACAAACGCTTCCCTTTGTTAGTCATAAGAGAATTCTAATCCTAAAACTCCTTTGACGTAGTTTCAAAGGAATTCCTGAATCTCACGTGAACTATCTTTGTTATTTGTTTTATAAACGGAATCCTGTGTATATTTTAACTAAAATTAGTTTTGGAAACGCGTCACTACTTAACGTTTCGTCTAAATCGCTTAACAAATTGTTCTTAGAATATAAATAAATTAGATCGAGATTACGCAGAGCTGCATGTTGCGATAGAACAAAAATATCTTTGTAAATTGGGGATTTCGCGTTAATATTTATTTTTAAATATCGAATTCGATTGACAGACGAACTCGCGATCTAACTAGTTTTGAAGTGATCATCGAAGCAGTCTTAAGATACCAAGACTCCATTTCGTTAGGATTAGTGGTTTTCAGTATTTATATATTAATACGTGAAGCAAAAACTTTGTATCCCTTTGAGGGAGCTCATATAGAGTCCCTTCTTTATTTCGCCGTAAAGTCGTGTTTTATGTAATTAACACCACAGTTGAAACAATATAAATTTTATTGATGTAGCGGCATAAACAATTCTAGCTAATTATATTATATTAGTTATTTAACACATTATAAATTATTTTTACGTTTTAAATATTTTGGCGGTAAAAAGGTCCCGTGTCACAGACTATATTCTTTTCCCACCTCTCGTGCGTTCCGGCTTACGCATCATAAAAAGGTGCGTTCTTAAACGCCACACCTTTTTACGAAAATTGCGCCGACGGAGGAGTATGAAATTTCAACACTTATAGAGAATATAGAGAAGAAGTGCACAATGCTAATATTTTTTTTAAATAATGCATAAAAGATACATAAAATCAATAAAGAAAACATTACACACACTACATACCATGTATTTGACGCACACACGCATGCATACTATTTATTGTCAAATATTTGTTCTTGACCTCTATGGTCAAGGACTTTTTGGCGGGAAGTCAAACCTATTAGGCGGAATTTTTTGAAAGAAAATTTTCACAAATTGTTTTTACCAGGAATTTGTAACCAGGCATATAATCTCACTATTTATAGGTGAGCTTCAACATGAGGGGCAAGCGCAAAAAGCGCAAAGCCGACGATCTACATCAAGATGTGGCAAGTGTCGACGACTCAGATACTTCGACCNCCGGCGTCACCTGCGATAACGCGGCCGCGCGTTGGCTCCTGATTGGCGCGCGCACGCATCACGCAATCAGGAGCCAATCAGGCGCATAACGCATTTCGTGTGACATGCTATACTCTCTAGTACGATTTTGGTCCCCATAATTTTCATACCCCGGGCCTATATATGTAAATCGATTCTTAAGGAGTAAACTCCAAAAAAGTACACTAAGTAAGCCATATCGTAGCTTTTGTAAATATTTTTAATATACATTCATTCTAAATACAGAAACAGGGTTAGAACTTGTATTATTATGTAGGCCCAAAAATGCAATGCTTTCAGGAAATCCAGTTTGGGAAATTTCAAATTCCACAAACGCTTCCCTTTGTTAGTCATAAGAGAATTCTAATCCTAAAACTCCTTTGACGTAGTTTCAAAGGAATTCCTGAATCTCACGTGAACTATCTTTGTTATTTGTTTTATAAACGGAATCCTGTGTATATTTTCACTAAAATTAGTTTTGGAAACGCGTCACTACTTAACGTTTCGTCTAAATGGCTTAACAAATTGTTCTTAGAATATAAATAAATTAGATCGAGATTACGCAGAGCTTCTGCATGTTGTGATAGAACAAAAATATCTTTGTAAATTGGGGATTTCGCGTTAATATTTATATTTAAATATCAAATTTGATTAACAGACGAACTCGCGATCTAACTAGTTTTGAAGTGGTCATCGAATTAGTCATAAGATACCAAGACTCCATTTCGTTAGGATTAGTGGTTTTCAGTATTTATATATTAATACGTGAAGCAAAAACTTTGTATCCCTTTGAGGGAGCTCATATAGAGTCCCTTCTTTATTTCGCCGTAAAGTCGTGTTTTATGTAATTAACACCACAGTTGAAACAATATAAATTTTATTGATGTAGCGGCATAAACAATTCTAGCTAATTATATTATATTAGTTATTTAACACATTATAAATTATTTTTACGTTTTAAATATTTTGACGGTAAAAAGGTCCCGTGGCACAGACTATATTCTTTTCCCACCTCTCGTGTGTTCCGGCTTACGCATTATAAAAAGGTGCGTTCTTAAACGCCACACCTTTTTACGAAAATTGCGCCGACGGAGGAGTATGTAATTTCAACACTTATAGAGAATATAGAGAAGAAGTGCACAATGCTAATATTTTTTTTAAATAATGCATAAAATATACATAAAATCAAGAAAGAAAACACTACACACACTACATACCATGTATTTGACGCACACACGCATGCATACTAGATATTGTCAAAATTTTGCTCTTGACCTCTGTGGTCAAATTGAGAATAGATTAAATATTGTTTGTCTTTATTAATATTTTTTTATAGTGTAGCCTTGGCGAATTTGTGATTATAGAAGTATAAAATACAATCATAATAGTGTACAAACTTACAATTCCAATTAATTATAGTCGAATTTCGACTACTGCGGGACCTCTAGTTAAATTAAATGTACCAAACAGCATGTATTGTATATGTGTGCTACGGAATAAGAAGTAAAAAGGCGAGAGGCATTTTCTTCAAACGAAAGTTCTTTTGAAGTCGTCGTGGCCTAAAGAATAAGACCGGTGCATTCGTATCTAGCGATGCAACGGTGTTCGAATCCGACAGGCAGGCACCAATTTTTCTGATGAAGTATGTACTTAACGAACGAATAATTTACACGATGAAGGAATAAGATCGTGTAATAAAAATCAAACACGCAAAAATATATTTTGCGTAACTCCTGGTGGTAGGAGTTTGGTAACCGCGCACGAGTAGGTACCACCACCCAGCTTATTTCTTATTTCCTCTTATTTCTATGGGGCAGCCGTTGTATTATAAAACTGAGATTTAGAACTCATGTCACAAGGTGGGCTGTGAGGTCGTCCACTTATCTAAGCTATAAATAATAAATCTATATATTATATAAAAATGAATTGCTGTTCGTTAGTCTAGCTAAAACTCGAGAACGGCTGGACCGATTTGGCTTATTTTGGTCTTGAATTGTTTGTGGAAGTTCAGAGAAGGTTTAAAAGGTAGATAAATATGAAAATGCTCGGAATTAAATAAAAATAACAATTTTGTTTTCCCTTTGATGTGTCCCCCCCCCGGCGGACGGTTTCCTTTTGTTTGTTTTAAGTTTATTTTATACAAAAGTTTAGGTCTTGTATTTATCGATTGAGGCACTACGAAGTCTGCCGGGTCTGCTAGTAAATAAATAAAAACCATCGGGTGTAGCATAAATCAACTTGTCTGCTACAATAATAATGGTAATGTGGTTAAACATTTGGTTCCGTCATGCGCATGCGCGTCCGAAAATCTAGGAGGCCATGATCCCCGAGCCTATAACAAAAAGCATTGTAAATTATTATTTAAGCGTCCTAAAATAATAACTATCAGATATCTTCACAATTGAAGCAAGACTTAGGAGTCGGATTCCCGTTTCGAG